CCCCAAAACCCCAAAACCCCAAAACCCCTTTAATTTAAGAAACTATTGACCTGAGCTTCTCAGAAATTAATATTTTATAAATGGATTACCAAGATGGTTTACCAGACCTCAACATTAGTTGATTGGAAAAAGGAGTAAGATTCGCAATATTTTAGTACTATTTCTTCCATAGCTGTTCAAATTTATGCAAAAATATAGAAGAAACTGTACATTATCGAGAACAAAATGAACTGCTTAAACTACACGACAGCGTCGCTTCCATCTAATAATCATGGCTTTGAGACATTGAAGACTATCATTCACGAAGAGCTTGGCTTGAAGGGAGAGTTCGATCTGTATAATAAGAATGGCAATAAAATGAAGATCGATGATTTTTCCTTTACCACCGATAACGATATCATTTATGTCAGAGCCTCAGGTGAATTTTGATACAAAGCAATGCTTTCATTGTACAGAAGTGTTGAGAAACTTGGTGAGGGAGGCTTTGGATCAGTATTTCTTCTCCAACATTCTCTCAGCGAAGAAAGAGTGGCTGCTAAATTTGTTGACGTCTCTGAACATCTCCAAAAAGCGAACGAGATAGGGAAAGCAGTGAAAGAGTCCACCTCTCTTATTTCTCTAGATCATGATGCAATTATCAAACTAGAGACTGCCTTCTTTATCAATACTGGGATGGTGCTTTTCACTGAATATATCCAAGGCGGTGAGCTTGGAAAATATGTCTTTTCAAATGAAATAAATGAGGAGTTAGCAAAGAAAATATTTATAAAAATTTTAGATGCAGTCCACTATTGCCACACTCGAGGAATTATTCACAGAGATTTAAAGATGGAGAATATCTTACTGACTGATCCAAATGATCCTTTGAGTCTTAGAGTCATTGATTTTGGGATTTCTGGTATTTGAACTCATGGTCGAAAAGAATCTTCAACTGCTGGTACTTTGCTATATTGCCCTCCTGAAATTTTAGACAAATCTGATATCGAATCCGACCCAAAAATTGATGTTTGGGCTCTTGGAGTTATTTTGTATATAATTCTTCTCAAAAGATATCCTTTCAGAAGTAAAGGCAATAATAAAGAGACAAGAAAGCTAATTCTTAATAAAGAGCTCACATTTGAATCTAGAGACGAAATGAAACTTTCTACTTCAGTAAAGCATCTAATCTCAAATCTCTTAGCAAAGAAGAAGTCCAGGAGATACTCTATTAGAGAAATTATATCCCATCCTTGGCTATTGAGTGATAAAGAACAGATGCAGAACTCTCAGCTTGCAAAGCAGGTTAGTTGTCTAGCAACAGATGCTATTATGGAAGAAATGAAATCAGTTATTTACCCAACTTATGAAGGTAAAAGATCTTTTCTTCTAGAAATTCCAGTTGAAATTACACATTTTAGGGAAAGATGATGATATTGCAAAATATTCGGGAAAGACAGCCAAATCTAAAGCTGCAGTCTCCAGAAATAACCACAAAAACCAGAGGCAGGATGCTAAAATATTATCCCCTCTGAGAGTAAAGAAAAAGGTATGCTTTAAAATTCAAATTTCAATAGCTAAATGACAGTGAATTTAAGGCTATAAGAGGCTCAAAGATTAAGTTAAGGATGAATAATCCTCCTGGCTCAATCCTTGAGCCAATGAAGCTTAAAATCAACAGTCAGAGTTATCTCTCTGCTAAGAAGAAAAGAAGAAAAGGAGGAAGATCTCATAAAAAGTCTGCATTAATTTCCAAGTTTCAAAGCAACCGTAAAGAAAGCAAAAGCTATTTAGTCGGGATGGAGTACTGTTTGTTCAAAAGAGAGGTGGAAGATGACAAGATCTTACAAGAGTTTCTCATAAAACATTCTCTTGAGTGCACTGAAAGTAATGTAAACACTCTCAGAGAATTTGCAGAAAGCTCTATAGAGTCTCCAATTGATTTTAAAAGCCTTATTATCAGAATGAAGAAGAAGGTAAAGTGTTTCGCTCTTATTTATAGTCGAGGAGGGGTACTCATAATGACTCATTCGTGCTTCATCATATTTCAACAATTGAGAAGTCTTCTCTGTTTGAAAATGGGCCTAGTGATGTTTACAGAGATGAGAATCAGCAACACAATTTTTCTCAGATCTATTACAAAAGATCACTGACTAACAAGAAGAAGTTCGTGGAGAGACCTGGAGATATATCAATGAGGAAGAGGATCATAGAAAAATCATTCAGCTCAGCCCAAAAAGAAGGCAAAAAGCTGTCAAAATAAAGTATCCTTTGATAAAGGTATGCAAAAGTGATATCAGATCTTCATTTTCTCAGTTTTTAGTTTCAGAATCGTTATTACTCTAATTTAGGACTTCTAAGGAAGAATTCACAGATTGAATTACCCTCGATAGAACGACGAGAGCAGTCTTTTAGAAGAGAGAACCAACTGAAGTAAGTATGAGTGTTAAATTTTAATAGAATGAGAAGAGATAAATCCTTTGGCAGAGGATCAGAGATCAGAAACTCAGATCCCTTCATCCTGAAGAACACTTTTGTAAAAGCAGATAACCTCAGAAGAAAAAGAACTTTTCGAAAAGATGACATTAGAGAGACGAATAGTACTATTTTATCAAACAAACATGCTAAAAAAAGCACGAGGAAGAAAATAAAGGTATTTTGCTTCTTATAGTTTAGAGAACATCAAGCAATATATTGGGAGGTAACATACTCTAAGTAATCAAGAAATTCTGATATCCTCTTAGCAGAAGTTAAAACATACCAGCTATTTATAAATAATTTGGATTTCTATGAAACTGCCCAAAAAAGGGGTTTTGGGGTTTTGGGGTTTTGGGGTTTTGGGGTTTTGGGG